TCGGGAACCAGCCGAGCCATCATTTCCCTTGCACGTTTCACCGTCGTCGGAAGCGCTACCGAAACCAGGCACGCTACCAACCCACCACGCCGACCAGTTCGCTGGAACACGGAAGAGGTCTTGGCCGAGTCATCTCCCAGACGAGCGCCTTATCACTCGGGGATTGACCGCCTGCCTGAGCCAGCACCGCTGTTCACACACCCGGAACCTGGCACCGTGCCACCTGCTCCCACCGCCGCGACTTTGGCAGTAAACGGGCGGGTGGGCGGGCGGGCGATGAGTTCGTAAATCAGAACGTCTTCCTCAAGACCGGTATTCATGTTTTCCTCCGTAAGTGGTACTGAGCCACTGATGGAAATTCCGAATTTCCATAGCAGAGGTCAAGTCTATTCATTTTGTGGCACTTAAATTACAAATTGTGTTGAAACCAGCTGACAGCAGGACACACAATGAGGAAATACTGGAAGAGAAAATGGTAGCTGAGTGTTGCAGGCAAAACGTTTTTGCTGGGTGGAACGTGTGCTCAGGATGGAGAAGGGCCAGTCACCAAGACAGCCATTGAAGTGGTCTCCATGGATCCGGTGACCAAGGGGAAGAGCATAGAGTAGATGGTGGGATGCTCTTAGGGCAGATCTTGAAGACCATGCGTCTACTGTACACCAGCTGCAAATCTGGGGTAGGGTATAAAGCGTTGGCAAGGTGCGTGGCATCAACATCCTTGGCCACGGTGACGTCTTGATCTTGACTCTTGTTTAGCGTGCGTGCGGTTTGTGGGCCGAGTTTCACGCACACAGCCCGACGGACCACAAAGCCTCCTGCGGTTCACTCGCCGGTCTTGAAAAGCGCGCGTTCTGCGTCCCCATCTGAGCTGCTTGTTGCATTATCCGCCAACTCTCAACCCAGCCTTGCGGTGCTGAGTTTGCCAGGGAGAAAGAAGAACGTAGGCCGTGTGGGGGGGTGGCCGCTACACCGGGGCCGTCGCGAGCGGCGGTGAGGCGCGCGGGGACGCGCCGTGCCCTCGCCACGCTCGCCCGTCGCCGTTGTTTTGCTTGAGCGTGGGCGCGAACGATCGCGTTTCTGGAAGGCAGCGGGTGTCCCCCCCCCGCCTCGCCGACCGGTGCTCCCGAATTCCCCGCGCCCCCCGCGGAGACCTCGCACCCGCCTAATTGGCCGTCTGAGCCGGTGGCGTCCCCTCGCGCCACGTTCCCCGGAGCGACACTCAGGGGCCGATGATCCCGCTGCCCCCTTCCCACCCCCTGCCCCCCCCCCCACCGCCCTTTCGCCTCTCCAGCTCCTCACCCCGACCATTGATTTTTCACAAATTAGAGACACGCGACTCGCTACACGTAGCGTCTCTGCTTTGATGTGAGCATTCGCTCGTGAGCGAGTTTATGTTTACGTTGTGTTCTGTTTATACAAGCGTGGTAGGAATTATCCCTCTTGGTGAGGGGTGCGTGTTTACGCAGCAGAGATTTAAAATTCAAAACGTGGGTCGTGACTCTTTTTTTTTTAAGCCTCTGCCCAGTGGCAGGTCCTCGGCTCAAATGCCCACCGCCATTTCTCTCCACGCAACCCCCCAATTTTTCCCTGACGTCACCCAGCAATGGCGCAGAACATCTCGGGTAAATACAGTACAGATTTCATTTCTTTCGCAAAATCTAATGTGACGTTAAATGAATTGATGTGTGTTCGTTCCGAACACAGGTGCCTTCGTGTTCCACTTCCATACGACGCAACCCGCGTGGCGCATCGCGTCACACGGCTTCGAGACGCCATGGCCATCTCTCGCGCTGCACGACAAGCGGACTTATTTTCAAGTCGTACCACGGGCTGTTCGGCAAGATGTTCCACGTTCCGCTCCATGTGCTGGGAGGTTGTTCAGGATCTGAATAGCTACCCGAAGCTCCCAGGACAAGGAGAAAAACGTCGGGCATCGTGCCGAACGGCACGCGGAACAACCCGAAAGGGCACCACGAGAGCTGTGCGACGCAACCGCCGACAGCCGCGTGCACAGCAGTGTCCTCGTTCGACTTGTTAGTCTTCAGAGGCCTCTAGTGGGAGAGCGCCGCTATTGCAAGCGATGCTTTCCCTTTCGCTTGACCTCGGCGTTTTCTCTGCTCCGTCGATGGTGACCTTGGCTTGCGCGACGGTGCGAGATGGGACGTGAAGGTGGCAGGGGTTAGGGGTGACGTTCCCCCTGGAGGAGTGAGCGGTCTTGCGGACGGGCGTGATTTAGCGGCGCCACAAAAGTCCAATTTGTTTCCAGAAGCCGGCTGCGTGAGCCTGGCCTTCTTTCAATATCGGCAGAGCTTTGAACCACCGTGAAAAGAATGCATCTTACAATGTAATACAATTTGGAGCTCAAGATGATTGTGTGGACACAGTGGGGATTTCATTTTATCGGGAGAGGCAGTCGATGTGTCACTGTGTGAGTTAATGGGTCTCTGTGTTATCGTGGGTCTATGGGTTTCTACATGGCGATGGGAATATATGTGGGTTTAGTGGCATCTGTGCGAGTCTGTAGAATACAAGTGGGATTTCTATTGCGTATAAATGCGACCGCTTGTCAAGATGCTGTATGAGCACTGTGGGCATGTTTTATAAAACGAGGCAGTCAATCATAGAGACTAAACTAACAGAGCGACCCATAGACTCACATAGACCCACAGGGAGCCATCGACTTTTGATAGAGATCAACAGATTTGCATAGAGACCCACAGACTCGCATAGGGACCCACATATTGACATACAATCAAATTTTGGATTTATACAGGGGGAGTCTAAAACGTGACCGACTAAACAGCGGCAAACTTATTGAGCGAAGAGCGCTGACGTGCTGAGGTGTTGTAGAGGTGCGTTTGAAGATGGGACAAGAAATCAATTAACGGTTTTCGCTCTGACGGCGGGTACAAAAGTGATGGACCGGCACCCGGCTGCCCAAGGCGACGAGTCTGCGGACGCAAAACAAAACGCGGACACAGCGTGGCCACGCTGTAACCTCGCATCAAATCGGCAAAAATGAGAGATTTTGGTCGGGCCGGGTGGAAAATCGCGCGGAGGAACGTGCCTCCCGAGACACCTCCTCCCTGTCGGTGTGCTGTGTGCTGTGCTGCGTTCGCGTGTGCGTGCTGCGTGTGTGCTGCGTGCGTGCTGCATGCTGCGTGCGTGTGTGTGCTGCATGCTGCGTGCATGTGTGTGCTGCGTGCGTGCTGCGTGCGTGTGTGTGTGCTGCGTGCGTGCTGTGTGCTGTGTGTGTGCTGCGTGCGTGCTGTGTGCTGCGTGCGTGTGTGTGCTGCGTGCGTGCGTGTGTGTGCTGCGTGCGTGCTGCGTGCGTGTGTGTGTGTGCTGCGTGCGTGCTGTGTGCTGTGTGTGTGCTGCGTGCGTGTGTGTGCTGTGTGCGTGCTGCGTGTGTGTGTGTGCTGCGTGCGTGCTGTGTGCTGTGTGTGTGCTGCGTGCGTGCTGTGTGCTGCGTGCATGCGTGCTGCGTGCTGCGTGCGAGCGTGCGTGCTGCGTGCTGCGTGCTGTGTGCTGCGTGTGTGCTGCGTGCGTGCTGTGTGCTGCGTGCATGCGTGCTGCGTGCTGCGTGCGAGCGTGCGTGCTGCGTGCTGCGTGCTGTGTGCTGCGTGCGTGCTGTGTGCGTGCGTGCTGTGTGCTGCGTGCGTGTGTGTGTGCTGCGTGCGTGCTGTGTGCTGCGTGCGTGCTGCGTGCGTGTGCTGCGTGCGTGCTGCGTGCGTGCTGCGTGCGTGCGTGCTGTGTGCTGCGTGCGTGCTGTGTGCGTGCGTGCTGTGTGCTGCGTGCGTGTGTGTGTGCTGCGTGCGTGCTGTGTGCTGCGTGCGTGCTGCGTGCGTGTGCTGCGTGCGTGCTGCGTGCGTGCTGCGTGCGTGCGTGCTGTGTGCTGCGTGCGTGCTGCGTGCGTGCATGCTGCGTGCGTGCGTGCTGCGTGCGTGCTGCGTGCGTGCTGTGTGCTGCGTGCGTGCGTGCGTGGTGCGTGCGTGCATGCTGCGTGCGTGCGTGCTGCGTGCGTGCTGCGTGCGTGCGTGCTGCGTGTGTGCTGTGTGCTGCGTGCGTGTGTGCTGCATGCATGCGTGTGCACGCGTCAGGCGCATGTTCCCTAAGGGCGTTAATTCACGAGCGTGCGTCTGTGTGCGCATGTGTGTCTGCAGTAGCGCAACGGTTAACACTACAAACCCGGGGACCCAAGTTCGATTTCCGCTCATGGCCAACACCAGTGACAATTATCTGAACCGGTTCTGGGCCTCCCCTAGATCGACGCAGCCTCAAATAGGTACCTGGTGCGGTGTATAAAAAGCATCACCACTTGAAAGGCAAAGGCGATCCGCGTGGTGCTGGCCACCCACTCCTTCGTGTGCCGTTCCGACCTTCATAGGTGCACGTGAACAGGACTTTCCACAACATTCTCTTAAGGCTATACGGGAATCTTTGTCTTTATTTATGTGTGCACGTGCGTTCTTGTGTCTGCTTATGTGTTCGCGTGAAATGCGGGTATGTACATGTGTATTTTTTTTTTATGTTCGTATACGTACTAACAGGCGTGTTTGTGTGTGCGTTCATGCGTATATTTACGTGTCCATTCGTGTGTGTGTGTTCATGTTGCTCTCCGGGTGTGGGGAGCGGTGGCGAAGTGGTTAGCACACTGCTATGCAAATCCAGAAACCCGAGTTTGATTCCTGCTCATGAACAAAATCAGTTCCGATTATATGAACTAATTATGATCCTCCCTTAGGTAGATTCAGCCTTAAACGAGTACCTAATATGTGTGTAAAGATCGGTACTGGGGAGAATCCCTACCCTCTCGTGTGCCGTGCCGGCCTTAATAGGTGCTCGCTGACAGCACTTGCCCCCAACAGCCTGTTCAAGTCTACACGAAGAATCCTTGTCACTGTCGTTTGTATATGTGCGCGTGCATGAGTGCGGTCGCACGCGCGTGTGTATGTGTGTACATCCACATGTGTGTGCGCGCCTGTGCGTGTTGTCCCCAGGGTGCCGTGGTTGTGGAGAAGTCAGTCCAGGACCTCATGAACCTGGTGCATGACCTCAGCGCCTACTCGGACCAGTTCCTGCACATGATCTGCATCAAGCTGCAGGAGTACCGCGCCATGTGTCACGCGGCATACAGGTGCGGTGTGCCATGTGTTCTACAGGTGCCGTGTGCCACGCGGTGTGGGTAGAGGTGCCGTGTGCTGCTGTGTAAAGAACTTGACTTACGATTGGATGCATTACCTGGATCACTGTTGTGCGAAGAGAACTCAATATTGGACAAAGCACATGGCTCACTGTTAAGCAGCGAGCTCACTACTGAAAGGTATGGAAGCCGGCTAACAATCGGGCAGCCGGTATGTCGTTCAGCTCAGCAACATGTAAACACGATGTGCTTCATGATTAACGGTCGCCGTAGTGGAAGGAGAGCAGACGCAACAGCAGCAATTAATCTGTCATTACACTAACTCGGCTTTTGTCGTGACTGTGCCCTTCTGATTAACGGCCACGGTTAGCACGCCCGGCGCTCCCCCCGTCCCCCCCCCCCCCGGCGGCAAGGCCCCTGTAACCTGGCACGCAACAAGAGGTGTGCGGTCGCATTGCATCTTCTCTCCAAGTTGTTCGCCGCTCGAGTCTGTGAACGAATGTGTTGGGCCCGGCAGTCGGGCGGAACGTGACTCGCCAGTGCTCGGCTCACTCGTTCAAATCCCTGTCGGGGGTCAACTCAGCCAATCATCCCTCCCAGAGTAGATTCAACAAGTACCTCTTTGTGAGACGTCTGTTTTGCTGGATAGACTGGCCTTTATCATAGGAATGTGGAATTTTCACTGATATGAGAACCCCCCCCCCCTACCAGTGCTGCTAGTGGGTGGCTACTGCCGGTAGTGCCCGGGTACCCAGAGGCATTGCATTAACGGGCTGTGACCTGCTGATCAAACTTGCAGCCACTTCCAAGATTTCCACGTTTATACAATGCCATTAAGAAGCATTGATTTGGAAAGCCCACAGGATTTTAGATTAAATTATTTATTCGTCTTCCGGGGATTAAACACCTTTTTTTACATGTATACATTTGTAATAAATTGTCCCTGCTCCATTGGCCCATACGTATGTTTGATTACATTACAATAATTAAATCAGGAGTGCGCTTTATTTGGTCGCAGAAGGATTCCGGTGCCAACAGCCTCGCCGCACGCCTTCACGGCGGCCATTAACAACGACCCCCGTCGTGGTCGTTGGCTAGAGCCGGCCATCGTGCGCCTGCGTCACGACCCACATTTGATAAAATCACCTGCGGGCACCGCCGTGATGAAAGGCAGCGGCCGACACGCCGGGCGATAAGGCGGCCGTCGCCGCCGACATTTTAACACGCATTATTTATTTACTCCGCGCGTTTTAAGAGCGCCGCTTTTAACGAAGCTCTCGGAGTGGCACGCAGGAGGCAGCGGGGCGGGGGCTGTCTGGAGGCCCCGGGGGCGGCCGTGGGCCCCACTCGTCGATCGCGCCCCGCCGTGAGTGCCCGCCTCTCAAGGTTACGCGCCGCCTGAAGGCCGCGCCGCTATCTCTGTAACGGGATATGTCACTGAAGCTAAAGGTTAGCTCCATTAGCGGCAGCCTCTATCGGTTATTGGATTAAGAGCCTGGCGAGGACCGGGCGGTGGGGTGGGGAGGAGCGGACTTAGCCTCGGCCTAATTGACTGAAAAGAAGTAGCTCAACTCCGAAACAATTTACTTACCGGCTGTCATTTTCCGGCGCATCTTATTATGCCGTACGTACGGCATCATTTTGCCAGGATGAGCCACTCGCTCCGTAACACAATTAAAGCGCACGAAATGAAACCAATTACAGCTCGTTGAGCCCGCTCCCCGCTTTATTAACCCCGCGAGCGACGCCCCGTCGCGGGGTGCCACGGGCCGTTCCGACGGCGATACCCGACGGACGCGATGCTCGTTTTTTCCCAGCGGCGGGCGGGCCCGCGGGCATGCCAGGGCACGGGTCCCTGCCACCTCCGCCGAGGGCCGCCGCTGTCGGAAAGCGTGTAGTTGATCTGGCGAGGGCCTCACGGATCGCGGTGGCGCCAGACTATGGCGTGGCGGCAGTTGCGGCGGTAACGTGGTTAATTCGAAGGCGTGTGATTCTCATTAAAAGCCTGTCTCGCTGCTAATCCGTCAGGAGTCGCGTGTTTGTTACTTTCCTGTGAGGAGCGGCGGGGCCTGGACTTATCCGCATCGACAAGGGGATTATCGAGATCACGACGCACATTTAAATTCACACGCATTTATTTATTTAATCTTTTTGTTCGTTCCGTTAAAGCCGCTGTCCCGGGCGCTGTGCGACATGTCGCTCGAGTGCATGTAAAGGGCGCGGGCGCTTGCGCGCGCATGCGGTGTACATTTACTGCGGGCTGCGGGAATGTTTCTGCTGGAGACGGCGTAATGAGCGCATCATTTGTAACCTAATGGAGAAATGCAGGCCGCTAATGTTGGCCGTTAGAATTAAATGTGACTGAAATTATGTTAATGATGATTGTAGCGACCTTAATGAGAGCGCTGTTTTCAGAATTAATGGCACCGCTAATGAAAACACACGTACGCGTCGAGTATCTGGTGCAAGCCTCCGACTGAGCTGTGAATCCAAAACCAGCCGGGGACTGGAACAAATAACCGGTAGAACCGTCGGTGCAAATATGTTCGGCGACAATCTGAAACGTTCCCTAGATATTTAAAGACATCTGCAGGCATCATTAGGCATTCACAGACGTGTAAGTCTATCCAGAAACACCGTAAAACATTCACAGACGTTATTGCACTTTCAGCGACATCCACAGACATTTTCAGACATTGCAAAATAATCACAGACAATCGGACATTTAGATAATTCAGAAACGTCCATAGACATGTTGACAGGTTGAGAGACATTCACAAACTTTCAGACACTTTCAGAGACATAGCTCAAAAACTTTCCTGAAAGATGGCTGAGACATTAAATTACTCCCAACCCACTCACATTAGTCACCATTTGTTCGCCACTCAATAATTGTGCTATGGTTAGCCTGGCACCCACCATAGGAATGTGGAATTTCTGTGAACAGGAGAATGAGTGCCATGCCATGTTAATTTGAACAGCTGTACCATGCCATGTCTTCTCCACACTCCATAATGCATCGACAAGCTCACCAAAGCAGCAGCAGCACGAGTGAAATTGTACGCTCTTGCTGGGCCACCAAGGCTCGCTCCCAGGATCACCACCCTCAACAAGAGGGCGATATACGACGCTCTCGACAAGATTAAAATCCCCAGTCTTGTCAGTTTCATTGTAACGATTAAAAGATTCTACTACTCGGGATGATGTTTTTTACACGTAGCGCCTCCCCTCTTCCGTTCTTGTCGGACATTCTTCTTCCCATGAAATATTCCAGTTTTTTTTGCGTACCTTAGAGGTGGTGCTCTCCGACTGACCTCTGTTCCGACCCCCTGCCACCCCGTGCCGCCCGCACGGCGGTAACAGGAACATCGTGGCGGTTCACTCGGAGGACCGGCTCGTGATCAGTGCCTCCTGGGCCAAGGACGATGACATCACGCGGCTGCTCAAGTCTCTGCCCAACTGGACCAACCTGGCGCAGGCCAAGCAGCCCCGCGCTCGCGGGCAGCAGGGCGACACCAACGAGGAGGAGTACACGCGGTGAGTGCGCGGCTACAAAGGCAAAAATCCCCCCTTTAGCGTTTAACAGTGTTTGGGAAAGTGCTGTTAGGGGAGCACCTGTTGTTAACGCGGTGCTCAAGGGGATGATGGGGTATGGCCAGCACCACACTGGCCACTCGTTGAAGCCAAGGGAGGCCCAGAATCAATTCAATGCAGATATCACTTTCCGCCAATATAAGCCTTGACTCGGAATCAAATTCAGGTCACTCAAAAAGTGACAGACGAGTCGTTATCCAGATGATGTCATGCTGTGGGTGTCACTTGCAAATGTTCTCATGCAAAATGTCCGCAGTGACATCACTAACATCATCGTGACAGATCACCGGACTGTAAAACTTAAGTCTCTTCTTCCCCATTAACCAAACTTCACACTTGTATTTGACAGTTTTGGGACATTCAATCTGGGTGATCATTTCCGAGAAGAGTTTATTTAATTTTTTCCCCCACAGTTTTGTCCAAATCGCGTGCCATTGGCATCACGTCATCCGATGCAGAATCTGAAACTCTCACGGAAGCGGATATCACAGAGCTACCTCCGAGATCCCGTTGTGATCGTTGTTCAACACAGTAAGGAGGGGGCGCGGGGAAGCCACTCCGCCACCACCGGCCTGCGTTTAAATCCTCACTGGTCGTGCGGAGCAGTGTAGGTTGACTGGAAGACTTCTGCCTCACCGTGTCCACAAAGACAAACATCCCCCGATAGCCTTAGCAGACTGTAGGCCAGTTCTGTTACTGAGCACCTATGAAGGCCGACACGGCACCCAAAGGGGGTGGGTGGCCGGCACCACGCCCGGCCGCCTTAATCTACCCAATGTCGATGTTTACGCATCGCACCAGATTCTCATTTGAAGCTGAGTCGACCTAAGGGAGGCCCAGAACCGGTTCAGATAATTGTCACTGGCGTTGGCCGTGAGTGGGAATCGACATCGGGTCGCCGGGTTCATAGCCCAGCGTGCTAATCACTACACTTCCACTGCCTATGCGCACGCACACATTGATCACGTCCTGCCAAACGCTCGCAAGTTGTTCAGAGGGGCACAGGGGCCCGGTGTTTGTAAGCCAGCAAAATAAACTTGGAGCTGGCTGCAGACTAATGAGGGTTGCTCATTACAGGCCGAGGCTGCCCTTCCTACCGCTGGTGCTGCTGCTACATACTAACTACGCTTTAATCATCAGGTTTTTCTTTAAATAATATCAGTTTATTTTTTCTGAAAGCTGCGAATGAATTGGCCATTTTTACACAAGAACTAAATGAGTTTTGGGTGCAGGACGATATCCTAAATTTGACGAATTGGATTTAATTACCTCTCCCTCCATGGCTGCAAAGCCCTCATGAGCTCTCTCGGCCTGTCTCCGAGACACGGATCGTTATTGTGAATCATCACCATTAGCGCGATTGATACCGGGAAACTTGAGCGAGGCAATTAATGCACGACGAAGGTGAGACAAAGGGTTGCTCCTCAGCGGCTCCAATTATGGAAGATTAATGGTGGAACCGGGGAGGTATGCAACCCTGCTCGCGCACGACTGAGCTCCGACGTTACATTAACCGGTCGGCGGGCGCGCGGCAGCGCAGGCGCGCGGGCCGTGCCATCCGGTTCGCGCCTCCTGCTGCGCCGGCAGCCGACGGCCTCCCCCGTGGGGTCGCTGCGAAAGTCCGGAGCGGCGCGGCTCGGCAGGGGCGCGGTGACGGCCGGGAGGCCGAGGGCCGCCACCCTCCCCCGCCGGATGCTCGATCGTTACCCCGCGGTTCGCGCGACACGTAGGGGCGACGGAAAACCGGCCCGTCGGACCGGAACAGCGGCGCAGCCGAGAGGGCAGTCTCGTTGAGGGGAGCGTTAAACTGTCCGATTGTTTCGCCGTCCCCCAGATGGATTCCCTCCGTCGAGGCCGCGTTGCGGCTAGCAAATAGCAATTTTACAATGTAATTAAATTGAAGATGGGGGTCAGGCCGCGGGTAGGGGGAGGTGACGGGGAGGGAAACGGGCAGAGGAGGAGACCGTCCTTATGGCGCGTGAAAAAAAGATTAATTTTCATAATGTTCTGGCCGCCGCCTTAATTGTAATTGTATTGGTGCCGAGCGTGGGAGACGCGCTCCCCATCGTTAATAACGGCGGGGCGCTACGATTATTCGTGCTTAAGAAGCCGCGGTTGGCAGAGTACTTCTGTTCCTCGTTATAAATAGTGGTAATTGGACTTTACGAGGTTTTAAAAGGCATAACTTTAAAGGGTTTTGCTTGTCCCCACAAGCGCTCCACTCGTTCACTTCGCTACGCCGGCACTTCTCACAACGCCAAGCGCGTGTACCTGCTCCTGGTCCTATACCACGATGTTTCCGCAGAGGGGAAACGGCAGTAAATGTGAGAGGCTTAAAGTGTCAGTGTGTGTGAGAGTGTAAGAGTGTGTGTGAGCCAGTGTTTGTGTGACCCGCCTCCTCGTGTGCCGTGCCGGCCTTCATAAGGGATCGCTAACTGCACTTGCCCCAAAAGTCCGTGAAGGCTATAAAGGGGACCTTAGTATTTGTTTGTGTCAGTAAACATTGCTGCTGCAGGATCAATAGGTGTCATTCCGTGACATCCACATTTACATTGCGACCACTGCTTACATCCGCACGTTTGTTTTGCTGTGCTCGTACGAGTGGGAGGTGTCCTCCAGGGAGGGGCTCCGGGGGGGGGGGGGGGGGGGAGATTTACGCTCGCTCGCACCACGCACGCCAAAACAAACGGACAAATCGCTCAAAACAAAACAAACCTTCTTCGGGAATTCAATTAAATTACCGGTAAGCAAAATGTGCATCATTGGGTCCATTTGTCAGGCCAATTATCCTTGTCACCGGCTTGCCATTAATTACCAACGAAACGTTAGCGGAGCGGTTATCGGTGTGGCGGATGTCAATTTACGTGATGTTCGAGCGACGGCGCACGGCCGATTGAGCGCATAAGAACAAATTCAACGTTCGCCTTCATCTGGCCGTGTTTGACCCCGGCCCGTCGCCGCCTCCTTCGTCTGCGACCGTAAACCTCCCGCGGAAATTCCACGTTCTCATGGCGAGGGTTAGTCGGGCGTAAAGACGACCATTGCAGAATCGCGACGAAAGGTTCTAGCCAGCGTAGCCATTGCCCGTCTCCCTCGTGCACGGCCTCTGTCTCGGTGAGGTTATTGATTTGTGTTGAAATTTTTCACTTCAGTTTGTAAAGTGATCTCACTTGCAATTGAAATGTTTCTTTATAGCGTTTGACATTCCTGTGTTTTACAATTGTTAACGGTTTTTGCAACCCAGGTCTCCCTTAATAGAGCGGCGTTTAGCGTAATTGGGCTGTCTACGTGGCTCTGTCAATCCACTGCTAGATGAGGGCCTCCTCACACCGCACCGATTGTGGTGGTTATATTACCATCCCGCACCGCAATGGTCAGTGCGGCTTGGTGAAGGCAGGGATAACTCAACGTGGAGTCATAGCAGTACAGTAACGACAATAGATGTTGCTGAACTGCCGTGCACTTCCCACCATATAGTACCACGCTCTATAATGCCCCTGCTTAGCTTCTGAGATCTGACGAGATCGGTCGCATTCCAGATGATTTGGTCGGAGGATTTCTCATAAACATCGTCTCTACCACTGCGTGGGATGTTGCGGCCGTGCTGCGCCGTAGCTCTCCGGCACACTTGTGGGTCGTACGTCGTTGGGCACGATGTCCAACGTCTCGCTCTACGTGCCCGGACCTTCTTCATTACTCCCAAATGAATAAATTGCCGAGTCGACCCTTGACCGGGATTTGAACTCTTCACGTTCCGTCCACGAATCCGGCTTGCTTACCGCCGTTATCGTTTGACCGCCTCCAGCGCCATCAACGCGAAGGAGTCGGACGTGCTGACGGGGAACCTGGGGGAGCAGCTCATCCCGGAGCAGGCCATCCTGCGCGACCCCGGCGACCTCAAGGCCCTCGCCAACCTCCACGAGAGCCTCGAGTGGCTCGCCAGCCGCCTCAACGGCTTCCTGGCCGACATCCCCGCGGCCCCCGGTACGCGAGGACGTGGCCGTGAGGCGTGCTGGCGGTGCAACCGTGCCGGGCGGGCGGGGGATGGGCCACTTGCAGGGTGTTTGTTGGGGCCAGTCAATTGTCCAGGGGACGGGGGCCCCGTTTAACTCCCTGCACCGTCGCCCATGGCGACTTCGCTATGGAGCACTGTGAGGGCACGCACGGCGAGGAAGTGCACGCGCGTCACACGCTCGCCACACGCAAGCCGCACACACGCGCACCGCTGCTAACGCGCACTAGACAAAGATCCCCCCTATAGTTCCTAAACGGACTTTTGCGGCAAGTGTTGTTAGCGGGTAGCACCTATGAAGGCCGGCACGGCACACTAGGAGGTGGGTTGCCAGCACCAAGCCCGGCCGCCTTTGTCTTCATTGGTACCTACAATCCAACGTCATCATGAACCCCAATTTATGCACTGCAGGATTAACGTATTTTCGCAAAACATCATCCCTTACTGTGGCGCCACAATCCACCTCGCTCATACACATGACGCGCGCACACGCGCACCTACACGATTGTTGTGACCTGCAGCATGTAACGTGAGCGGGAACCCTTCTTGCACATCACCGTGAGCATTGACACCTCTGCGCTGTTATTTACTCACTTAGTCTCGGCTGTTGAGCTGAGAGAGGCAGCCAGCCTTTACACTGACGCGCTCGCCTGTGAATGGATCACGCGTCTCTGGGAACATAGCGCCTTTTGAGTGGAATGGATGGATATTTTGCCAGCTTGTGTTCATGTCAACAAGCATCTATACCCTTACCAACGGCGCAAACACGTCCCCCCATCGGCGTCACCGGGAATCCAATCCCCGTGTCCGAATGCACACCATCGTTTGTTCCCTTGTGTCTCTGTGCCTCTGTGTCTCCGTGTCCCCGTGTCCCAGTGTTCCGTGCCCCTTTGTTCCTCGTATCCTAACTCCGTGTTTCCATTTCACCGTATCCCCGTGCTTACATTAACCCCATGCCCCTATGTCCACATATCCTCGCACCCCTGTGTCTCATTCTCTCTGCGCCCTCGCGGCCCTGTGTTTGTTTAGCCTCACGTCCTCCGTGTCTCCACATCGCCGTGTCCCCTCTATCCCAGCGCCGCCGTGCCTCCGCTTCACCACGACCACGTGTCCCCCTGTCCCCATGCCTCCATATCTCTGTGCCCCTATACAAAAACATCACCTTGTCCCTGTGCCCCCATGCCCTCGTGTCCCCACGTCTCCTGCCCATGCCCGCGTCGCCCCCCAGTCCAGGATACGATGTCTCCCGCTGGCTCGGAGTCGAGCCCCGACAAGGACCTCCTGTCGGTGCCCGAGCAGATCCTGAACACGCTGTGGGGGCTGACGCGCGAGTTCCAGGACATGGCCGATCGCTGTCTGCTCGTGCTGCACCTGGAGGTCAGGTGAGCGGCCGCCACCTTCTCCACCCGCCCCGCCGGTCCTCCGCTGGACTCCGCCGGTGCCACGTACGCAGCTTGTCGTTGCGGGATCGAGAGGGATGGTCCCGGCTCGGGAAGGCCTCCGACCAGCGGTGGATTGATCGTGGCTGGTGATGACGATACAGCTCGTCATCAATCTACTGCGGAGTGTCACCGTGCCACGTCACTTCCAATCCCGACACTGTAGGAGTGCCAAGGCCTTGGTGCTCCGATAGGTCTGAGATCAATCAACCATTGGCTTGTGTGAACAGCCAATATTTACAATCCATTGCTGGATGAGGGTCTGCCCTCCCCCATTCTAACGATTATGGAATGCCTCTCGTGCAAGTCGGGTTCAGTGGGGTAAAGTGTGGGTACTCCCACCTCTTCCAAGACATCTGGCCAGCGTGGTGGAAGAGTAGGCCAAATACCCTCTAGAGGCACTACTCGAGCTCCCCCTAGTGGAGGCCCTCCCACCAGCAGCAGCGTGAGCAAGCATTTGCTGGGCTCCGCCTTGACCTCTCGTTTGTACGTGTGCGTGCGTGCGTGCATGTTTCCCAGGGTGCACTGCTTCTATTACCTGATCCCCCTGGCGAAGCAGGGCAACTACGCGATTGTGGCGAACGTGGAGAGCATGGACTATGACCCGCTGGTGGTGCGGCTCAACAAGGACATCTGTGCCGTCGAGGAAATGATGAACGCCAGCCTGCAGCTCCACAAGTTCCAGTACATCTTTGAGGGTGAGGCGGCGTGTGCACGAGCGTGCGTGCGAGCGTGCAAATGGGGGTGGGGTCTTCACAGATTGTCTTACCCAAAATGTGTTAAATTATCACATTTCGGGGTCACAAGTTTGGAGAAGTAGGCTTCAAAGAAGAGCCGGCGCATGCAGGCTGCAAAACTTTGTTCATTACGAGCGAATACGTTAGTTTCAACGGAGGTTGAAAGCGTCGACGCGTCAGTTCGTCTGTCTGAGACGGGGGGGGGGGGGGGAGGTCACGATAACTCTCGTACAGCTGATGACTCTCACACGCACGATTCTCTGCGTGTATCCTAAACGTAAAAATGCATTTGAATCCGTGAATCGGCACCGCATCACCGCGCGCCGCGATAGACAAACCCGGCGGGGTGGGGGGGGCGGCGGTGGCTCGTCACGTTCGCTGCGTCCCCCGCATCCCCCGCATTCCGTAACCTCTTCCGCTCTCGTCGCCCACAGGCTTGGGTCACCTCATCTCCTCCATCCTGATCAACGGCGCCCAGCACTTCAAGCGCATCAGCGAGTCTGGCATCAAGAAGATGTGCCGCAACATCTTCGTGCTCCAGCAGAACCTGACCAACATCACCATGTCGAGGGAAGCCGACCTCGACTTTGCGCGGTGAGCGGCCAGGGTTCAGCGACCTTTTGCCGCGTCCCATCGACGGCAAAGTGCGGGCGGTTGGTATGCGGCGCTCTGTGTCAGCGATCGTAATGCCCAGCAAATCAAAGGCAGGGATTGCTCGCTCGCGAGCGGTAAGTTTTTAGAATTAACGCACGCAGAGGTGTGCACAAGCGTACATTTCTGGCGTGCATAAAGCGCACACAGCGAAATCCATCGGCATTTCCTAAAGTGCATTATGGTCCTCTCGTCCTATCTCACCAAAATACATTTGATCGCAGTAGCAGTGATAGACAACTGTGGAGCGCATACTGCGTTGCCAGTGTTGCACAAGCACAATTAAAACATTCATCACCTATTGATTGTGATTCTGCTTATTTACCCAAGAAAGCTTCACTGAATCTCAAGACTATTTTTCAAGAGGGTCCTGCCAAGTTGTCGCAGTAGGGGGGCGATTTTGCTGCTGCCGTGTGTGATCCCAAGTGAGTAATATTCAGGCAATGTTTCAGCATTGGGATGGGTGGCCAATACCGGTTGCATTGTTTTTGTTTAGCTATGGGAGGAAACCGGAGAACCCAGAAGAAACCCATGCAGAACAGGGGGGAGAATATACGAATTCCACACAGACAGGCGCCAGAGTCGGGAATCAAACCCAGGCTCTCGGTTGTTTAACAACTGTGGCCTGCAAAAGAAAAACGTAATTGGCGACGTGATGTAAAATGGCTCTCGTTCACAGCGTGACGTATTTACAAGAGAAGAGTTGTTTGTTTCTTGGCTTGCTCTTTAAGAGGGAAGGCTTCTGATGCTAATGAGCTGATTTACATTAAGGTTCAGACCAAGGTAGAGAGAGATGGGGGAGGTGTGTGGGTGGGGGGGGGGTGAATCTTGCGAGCAGCCGGCTAACGGCACCGCTTTAAATTTTAAGCACAATTTCAAAAACGTTTTTTTGCGTCAAACCCCACGGGAGCCGCCTCCACCGCGCCCCCGCCCGCGCCCCATTTGGCCGGGGGTTACAAACGGCAGCCCGTGTTCGCACTCCATGCCGCATCACCCACGCGGAACGCGGCCTCCTGCGCGCTACCGGTGGGGTGGGGGGGCGGGGCACACTCGGTGAGCCGCGCAAATCACCTCGAGCGCGGAGGCTCGTTAGGCCGCTCTGCGCTCGAGCCACGGGCACTGAGCAAACGTATAAAAGACGAGCAGCGGCGCAGCGGCGCAGCGGCGGAGCGGCGGAGCCCACGTGCGGCGAGGCCCGGCACTTTTCGCGTGGCGAGGGTCGGCGGGTCGCGTAGAGATTCGTGAGACTCTCAAGTATACAAGTTGGCCAGGACAATGGCGGTCCAGCGAGTGGATGGAGTCCATGTGCACGGAGCTCCGAGTGTTACCTACTCATGATTCGCCGTGGGTTTTCTCCGGTTTCCTCCCTCACGAAGCCAAACTCTCATCAATCGTGGAATTGGCCAAACAAGCGCAGTGTTGCAGGACCCTCCTGGAATGAGTCTTGGGACTGGGTGAGGTCTTCGTGGATGAACAAGGGACATTGTTGTCGTCGTGGTTACAGCCGAGCGGTTCCTCCACCGCCTCCACGACCGGGAGCCGTGGTGGGCGTTTCGTCGGGTGCGTGACGAGGGAGGCTGGACGGGGTAGGGGCATCTGGACAGGGGACCCCACGTGCTAACGAGCGACAGGCCACACTAATGACGCTCACGTGATGCGCGTCAATGATAACGACACGCGCGGGGAGGCGTTCGCCCAGCTGTGGATTGAGAATGGCTCGTGATAAGATGTAAGTTGATGACGATTATGATGATGATGTTGCAAAGCATAATTGTGTAAATGCGGTGTAATTGCGTATGTGCGGAGCACCCATGTGAAAACTGGAATTATATTTAAAAAAACAATATAACAATAATAATTATATATATAGGGTACATATAATCAATGCTGTCACTGATAATCGCTGTGACAATGGTGGTGCCGACATTGCTGACACCGCTAATGATAGTGAGGCTGTAACGGCGTTGTGTGCGATACGTATGCCTGTCCAGGAAACACTCCCGCGTGACGCGCGCAATGCACGTGCGTGTGTGTAGTGGGGAGCGGTGGCAGAGCGGTTAGCGAGCTGCGCTACAAACCCGGCGACCCGAGTTCGATTCCCGCTCCCGGTCAACACCAGCGACGATTATCTTAACCGGTCCTGGGCCTCCCCTAGGTCGACTCAGCCTCAAATGAGCACCTGGTGCGGTGTATAAATATCGCCGCTCGGGATGTAAATGCGGCCGGACAAGGTTGGTGCTTGCCACTCACCCCCTCGTGTGCCGTGTCGGCCTTCATAGGTGCTGCTCGCTAACAGAAATTGCCGCCACAGTCTGGCATAGCCTAACCTGCGGTGGTGACACGTGCGCGTGTGTAGGCAGTACTACGAGATGATGTACACCACTCCGGACGAGCTGCTCAGCGTGCTGGTGGACCAGGGCGTCCGCTACTCGGAGCTCGACTACATCAACGCGCTGGCGCTGCTGCAGCGCAGCCAGGCGGGCGTGGGCGACCAGACGGTGCAGAACGGGCGCATGCAGCGCCTTAAGGAGATCATCCGCGAGCAGAACGCCATCAAGCAGGCGGCCAAGGACAAGAAGATCACCACCGTCTAGGGGCCGCCGGCGTGAGTGACCGTGTCGGCTCGGCCGAGACCAAGGCGTTGTGCCGCGCCGGTATCGGGGGTTGCAGCCGTACGTAGTCCCGTGTTTGTCTGGTTAGGGTTAAGGCTGCAGCCCTTGTACATCAGGGCAGACTCTCGACGGACGGATTGGCGGAGCGGTGGCGCAGAGATCACCGCACTGCGCTACGAATCCCCGTGATCCGAGTTGATTCCGGACCACGGCTAACATCAGTGGCGAGTGATATCCGAACCGGTTCTGGACCCCCTTCTTCACCAACCTGTTCCAAGCCGGTGTAGCCGCGTGTTGGGCAAGACAAGGTGTTGGGATCGTCCGAGCCGGTGTAGGTTCACGCCGGGCTGGTTCACGGTGAGGTTCTAGTTCATCGTTACGGAGCTACAGATTCCTCTGGCTCGGCGTCTCTCGTGGGAACTCGGTTTACGTTCGGTCGCGGCTAACGCTGAAGCCACGGCCCTGACCCCGTCTCCCCCCTCGTGTTTGTGCGGAGAGGACCACCCGCTTTCTCCATCGTTAATGTGGTGGCCGTGTCAAATAAGGACCCCCGACTTACCCTCGTCGCGTCTCTCAATATATCCGAGTTTGGAGCGCGCGCGACTACCCCCCCCCTGCTGTCCCTGCTGTCCCCGCTGAAGCTGCTGCTCACCCCCCTCGTCTCGCCGCCGGGTCGCGGCACGACGCTTCGAGTCCACGCCGGGCCTCTCAATTATGTAAATGGCCGGAGAGAAAAAACTCAACGTGTTTGCTCTTTTATTTCGTGCTAAAAAATAGTCGACCGTGACTCCATCTGGCGTCTCTTTTGACAGTTCCCGCTTTCTCCCTGCCTCCTGCCACCGTTGCCGTGAGAGTTGGGAGGGGGGGGGGAGCCCCCCCCCCCCACCGCCACCATCGCATGCCCCCCCACCCTAAACCTAAAACCCACGATCGCCCCCGATCGCGGGAGGCAGTCGGGCACTGCCGTGCGGCCAGAGGGCAAAAGCAATCAAAAAATCACAGCAGCGGTTGATTAGTTTAATTAAGCGAACATTACACAGTAATTTCAACGTGAAATCAAGCCGCATTAGAATTTACTCAAAGCCAGCATCATTCCAATCAAGAAATGCTAATTCAGCAGAGGCGCGTCGCGCTGAATAAATTACGTCGCGGCCTCTCTGCGCTGCCCTGCGGTTTGACCGTCGCTGCAGGCGTCGCTGGGTTCGACACGGGTATGGGGGGTCACGGGGAGTCCCGGAGTAGGATCACGTGGTGTGGTTGATGAGACTCGGGCAGTCACAGCAGAGGAACAGCCGGGCCACAGGCGTCCCTTGCCACTGGGTGGATTTATGGACCCCCCCCCCTCTCTTGGAAGGGGGGTTGGGGGGGGTCACGGTACTACCCACGGTTATTACGGGGGGGGGGAGGGGTCCCTTGTGAAATCAATGGGAACCGTCACCGTACCCCCAACATGGGGGTCCGTGTGTGGTGGCGTGCATTCATATAGACTCCGCCTTTGGCATGTGTAACTTGCGCAACGTTGTTTAGTGCTGCTGTAGGAATCGTCGTGTGGGACACTTTTTTTTCCAGGGGAGTACTTAACTCCGCGACTGGGGTACCAATCAATCCGCAATCAGTGCTACTCCGCGATGTCAAAACGCCACACAGCATAAAAAATCCGTTATCGAAAGATTCAACTTTGAATAGTGCATCGTGTACAGCTCGTCGAGATGAGTCGATTGCTGCATCGCCGACCATCAACAGACTAAAAATTACTGCATCACGGACATTATGTGAGAGCGGGGGTACTATGGTACCCCAGGGTACCGCCATAAGGTTCAAATGTCGCCACTGGGGAGACAAAGGCGGCCGGGCGTGGCGCTGGCCACCCACCCCCTCGTGTGCCGTGAGGGCCTTCACAGGTGCTCGCTAACAGCACTTGCTCTAACAGGTAAGGCTATACGGGGTGTCTTTGTCTTGTGTCCGCACCCGTCTTTAAAAGTGGGCGGTGACAGTAAATATTTGAACCGGTCCTGGGCCCTCCCCTAGGTCGACTCAGCCTCAAACAAGCACCTGGTGTGATGTGTAAACATTTCCACTAGGGAAACAAAAGCGCCCGGGCGCTGTTCTAGGCACGCCACCCCCTTGTGTGTCGTGCTGCCCTTCACAGGTGCTTCTCACCGACGACAGCACTCGCCCCAACAGTCTGCTAAGGCCGTACGGGGATCTTCTTGTCCAGCATTCACGAACGTGCGTGTGACCGCGTACGTCCTGGATGTGTGACAACCGGGTGTGCGTGTGAGCGACTTTCCAGGAGCGTGTCCTATGTCCCGTGTCGTGTCCTGTGTCCCGTATCGCCAAGCCCCCCCCCCCCCTCCAGATGTAACGCTTTGTGAACAGCACGATCGATTGCGGCAAATAAAGATTTTTACCTGCAGACAACCACCGTGCACCGCTATTGACTCGCACAGCCAGACAGGCTGCGGCTCGCAACAACAACAGCAATCCTTCCCGCATCAACCACGGTAACCGCATGGATAGCTACAGACCCGAGGGAAGGTGGACATGATGGCAGGCGAGACGGTGTAGTGCGGTGTTCTTCATTGCAAGGCCTGCGGGCCATTGGCCGCCCCTGGTGACTTTTAGTGCTGCCCCTGACGTGTGGCACCCGACACACAAGTGAAAGCTTCCCTTGCAGGCGGAGTGGCGGCCCTCACACTAACGATGTCCTAACGGCGAAAGTGGCCCCCCTCTCAAAATTATTGTGGAACATTGCTGTAATGGCTTTTGGGGCTCATGATGACGGTGTCAGGGACACTGAGCTGCTTCTCCTGAGATCCTGCGTTCAAATCCGAGTCTTGATGGCGTTCTCGTGTGGAGCGGTCTCAGCCCAGTCACCGGTGGTATAGACTATAGAGAGAGACCCATTGGCTAGCATCTACTTGTGGTTAGACGGGGTTCTCAAGTGTAGCGAGTTGATGGTTTTACAGTGAGGGAAAAAAAGTATTTGATTCCCTGCTGATTTTGTACGTTTGCCCACTGACAAAGAAATTATCAGTCTGTAATTTTAATGGTAGGTTTATTTGAACAGTGAGAGACAGAATAACAACAACAAAATCCAGAAAAACGCATGTCAAAAATGTTATAAATTGATTTGCATTTTAATGAGGGAAATAAGTATTTGACCCCTCTGCAAAACATGACTTAGTACTTGGTGGCAAAACCCTTGTTGGCAATCACAGAGGTCAGACATTTGTTGTAGTTGGCCACCAGGTTCGCACACATCTCAGGAGAGATTTTGTCCCACTCCTCTTTGCAGATCTTCTCCAAGTCATTAAGGTTTCGAGGCTGACGTTTGGCAACTCGAACCTTCAGCTTCCTCCACAGATTTTCTATGGGATTAAGGTCTGGAGACTGGCTAGGCCAATCCAGGTCCTTAATGTGCTTCTTCTTGAGCCATTCCTTTGTTGCCTTGGCCGTGTGTTTTGGGTCATTGTCATGCTGGAATACCCATCCACGACCCATTTTCAATGCCCTGGCTGAGGGAAGGAGGTTCTCACCCAAGATTTGACGGTACATGGCCCCGTCCATCGTCCCTTTGATGCGGTGAAGTTGTCCTGTCCCCTTAGCAGAAAAACACCCCCAAAGCATGTTTCCACCTCCATGTTTGACGGTGGGGATGGTGTTCTTGGGGTTATAGCCAGCATTCCTCCTCCAAACACGGCGAGTTGAGTTGATGCCAAAGAGCTCCATTTTGGTCTCATCTAACCACAAGACTTTCACCCAGTTGTCCTCTGAATCATTCCGATGTTCATTGGCAAACTTCAGACGGGCATGTATATGTGCTTTCTTGAGCAGGGGGACCTTGCGGGCGCTGCAGGATTTCAGTCCTTCAAGGCGTAGTGTGTTACCAATTGTTTTCTTAGTGACTATGGTTCCAGCTGCCTTGAGATCATTGACAAGATCCTTCCGTGTAGTTCTGGGCTGATTCCTCACCGTTCTCATGATCATTACAACTCCACGAGGTGAGATCTTGCATGGAGCCCCAGGCCGAGGGAGATTGACAGTTGTTTTGTGTTTCTTCCATTTGCGAATAATCGCACCAACTGCTGTCACCTTCTCACCAAGCTGCTGGCAATGGTCTTGTAGCCCATTCCAGCCTTGTGTAGGTCTACAATCTTGTCCCTGACATCCTTGGAGAGCTCTTTGGTCTTGGCCATGGTGGAGAGTTTGGAATCTGATTGATTGATTGCTTCTGTGGACAGGTGTCTTTTATACAGGTAACAAGCTGAGATTAGGAGCACTCCCTTTAAGAGTGTGCTCCTAAACTCAGCTCGTTACCTGTATAAAAGACACCTGAGAGCCAGAAATCTTTCTGATTGAGAGGGGGCCAAATACGTATTTACCTCATTAAAATGCAAATCAATTTATAACATTTTTGACATGCGTTTTTCTGGATTTTTTTGTTGTTATTCTGTCTCTCACTGTTCAAATAAACCTACCATTAAAATTATAGACTGATCATTTCTTTGTCAGTGGGCAAACGTACAAAATCAACAGGGGATCAAATACTTTTTTCCCTCACTGTATGTAGTTAGCTTTGTAACGGCTCAAAGGATTAAACATTCTTCCCGTTTTATTTCAGACTGCAGAAAAAAGCCATAATTGTAAGGTTATATTTTGATATGGCTAATTACACAATGTTACAGGTATTGATAAACCTTCTGAAAAAGAGTATTTGGTCTCTTTGTGGCTCTCCTGGGTAAATAATCATAACAGCTCGACAAAAAGTGAATTTTATTTCCTTGCGATGAACACTTCTCTCCATGGCAGGGCGCGTGAGAAGGCGACAGTACCAGGCACGTCGAAAGGAACTCGAAAGTAGTTCTGTGATGTCATGTTCCACAGGCCGTTCTCTAACACATGGAGATACAAATTGCCGCTCCTTTTGACACGCGATTCCTGGAGCGAAATTGGAATATGAGAAGACAAACAGCAGCACCAGGACACGTCGGTAACTGTGGCAGTGTGGTGGGTAGGCTCTTGCGAAAGTGAAGGAAGGGTTCCATCTAGCAGTGGATGGAGACAGGCACATGATGGGCGAGGTTGGTTTGCCGTGACCGATTTCGAAGGGGTTTGTCCATCGGTGGTTAATGAGCGCATGCTCTAGTGAACATTAATTTTTGGTTTAAATTGACAAACCTGTGAGTGAGCATCAACTTAATTGGCTCCAATGTGGTGCCATTAATTCACAACCAGACTTATGGGGGGGGGGGGGGGGGTTACTCTCGCGAGTCCTTGACTCTGGTGAGTAGGAAACTCTGCACTGTGTGTGTTGGTGCGTGTGTGTGTGCATGTGTCTGTGTGTGCACGTGTGTGTGTGCACTCCGCGTGTTGGTACGTGTGTACGTGTGTGTGTGTGCACTCCGCGTGTTGGTGCGTGTGTGTGCACACGTGTGTGTGTCTGTGTGTACGTGTGTGTGTGCACGTGTGTGTGTGCACGTGTGTGTGTCTGTGTGCACGTGTGTGTGTGTGCACGTGTGTGTGTGTGCACTCCGCGTGTTGGTACGTGTGCATGTGTGTGTGTGTGCACTCCGCGTGTTGGTGTGTGTGTGTGTGCGCACGTGTGTGTGTGTGCACGTGTGTGTGTTTGTGTGTGCACGTGTGTACTGTGTGTGTGCACGTGTGTGTGTGCACGTGTGTGTGTTGGTGTGTGCGTGCACGTGTGTGTGTGTGCACATGTGTGTGTGTACACTCCGCGTGTTGGTGTTGGTGTGTACACGTGTTTGTGTGTGTGCACGCGTGTGTGTGTGCACGTGTTTGTGTGTGTGTGCACTCCGCGTGTTGGTGTGTGCACGTGTGTGTGTGCACGTGTGTGTGTGTGTGTGCACGTGTGGGTTGGTGGGGAGCGATAGTGTAGCGGTTAGCGCGCTGCGCTATGAACCTGGCGACCCCAGGTTCGATTCCCGCTCACGGCCAACACCAGTGACGATTATCTGAACCGGTCCCGGGCCTCCCCTAGGTCGACTCAGCCTCAAATGAGTACCTGGTGCGGTGTGTAAACATTGCCACTAGGGAGACAAAGGCGGTCGGGCGTGGTGCTGGCCACCCACCCCCTCGTGTACCGTTCCGGCCTTCATAGGTGCTCGCTAACAGCACTTGCTCCTACAGTCTGTTAAGGCTATATGGGGGATCTTTGTGTGCGTGCTCGTGTGTGTGTGTACGTGTGCTCGTGTGTGTGTGTACGTGTGCACGTGTGTGTGTACGTGTGCACGTGTGTGTGTACGTGTGCACGTGTGTGTGTACGTGTGCACGTGTGTGTGTACGTGTGCACGTGTGTGTGTACGTGTGCACGTGTGTGTGTACGTGTGCACGTGTGTGTGTACGTGTGCACGTGTGTGTGTACGTGTGCACGTGTGTGTGTGTACGTGTGCACGTGTGCACGTGTGTACGTGTGCACGTGTGTGTGTGTACGTGTGTACGTGTGCACGTGTGTGTGTGTACGTGTGCACGTGTGTGTGTGTACGTGTGCACGTGTGTGTGTGTACGTGTGTGTGTCTGTGTGCACGTGTGTGTGTACGTGTGCACGTGTGTGTGTACGTGTGCACGTGTGTGTGTGTACGTGTGCACGTGTGTGTATGTACGTGTGCACGTGTGTGTATGTACGTGTGCACGTGTGTGTGTGTACGTGTGTGTGTGTGTGTGTGCACGTGTGCACGTGTGTGTGTGTGTACGTGTGTGTGCACGTGTGCGTGAACGTGTGCACGATGCACGTGCACACACACACACACGTGTGTGTG